TCATGATACTTGGTCTTTTGCTGCCAGGTGCTCTTGGGATAAAATCCAGTCTGTCATGATGTGCCGAACGTAGGGAGTCCCAGAAGTAGATTTGGACCGCACTTTATTTCCAAACTTAAATGCTATGAGAACCGTAGAAAAATCCAAACGGTCCAGAATGATGTCCATATGCTCTTTCTCAACCAACTCGGCAGTAGATTTGAAGTTATACCCCACGGCGTCTTGTGTGTGCATTTGCAACACCAGAGCGGTATCCCAATTTGGCTGATGAAACACACCCGAAGAGTATCAGAAGCCTCCAGGAGTTATTCTGAAACTTGTATCTCCCAAACAGAAACGACGCAGGAGCCTTCATATGCTCGGAGACTACGATATGGCATGGTTGAGTAACAGACCACGCACTTGCTTGAAATCCTCCTAGGAGATGAAATCCATGAAGATCATCCATTCATTTCAGTGTGTAATGATCAATTAAAATGTAGGATAACAACGAAGCATCACGCTGAAGCCAGAGTTGAGGTTAGAGCCGGGTTTTCGGAACGTGGTTGCAAAGACTCGCCATGAAGTAACTTCATGTGCTCTTTAAGACGACGGAGATGGTGGACGTATACCGTAAAAGAAAAGAAATTGGCGAAATCAAATACTCGAGTCAATGCGTACGCCGGACCCTTGAAATTTCTAGCGAGGCCCGTCCACCAGGTACACGAACGTAACCCATCGGAGCCCTTGGAGTCGAGCACTGAGCTCTGCATCTTCGCTCAGTAAAGCCTGGATCAAAGACGACGCAAGGCATCAGCGACAATCTGATACACCGGCACTCGAGCATGTCTCACACGTGATGCGGTTTGTGCAGCGGACAGTCGACTTAGGCCATACGCCGCCCCGACAGTGACGACGCCCATCATCAGGTGAATGAATGACCCGATGCAAGCAATCGCATCGCGGGAATCAATCGCTTACCACTGCTCACCGCCGATCCCATGATGACGTTAGGCGTCGTGCAAAGAGGCTGGAAAGAGTGCCGTGGCCTGTCGTGGCGGGGGGATCGGCCGCCCCCTGACCCGGATGCATCACCATCACCACCGACCTCAACACCACACCCGAAAATCGACGATGATGGCGTTGCAGTCCACGCCCGATCATTGCCATCACGTCTCCTCAACCTCTTCCTCCAGACCTGATCAGACACGATGCATCTGCTCACATCCATTCACGCGCACAGGCCTTCCTTCACCTCATATCCTCATCGCGCCCCTCAGGAATGTGCCCCCGCGCTGCCTGTAGTAACACATTCCAGTCGGACATTGACCCAAGACCGCCTGTCACTGCCACGCCCGGCTCACACCCGTTCTTTGCGTAGCTGGGGCCAGCGCCTCGACAGAGGAGGGCCCTCCCCATACCTCTGCCAGATTTGTTGTGCTATTCTGGTCCAGAGCCTTATTACCCGCGATCGACCTACCCTCTCGCTCTTCCCACCATCTCGCGGCGATGCTCCCCTTTTTGCCTCCGCTACTAACCTTGTGCTCGCTCACAGCTTGATTCCCGCCAGCGCGGCGTCGTCCATTCGTTTTGTTCTGACATCATTCGTTCTTTGTTTTTTTGTTACTGTCGAGTCCTCGATACTCGCATCACAATCGTTCTCCGCTCGCTTCACCGTCCGTCTTGTCACAGTAACCACCAGAATCCGCTTCGAAGACGGGACAAAAGAGCAGTCACGATGCCCCCTCGAGTGGCAGCCCGAGAAGAGGGCGGCGGCGGCGGCGGCCTGACGGTAGGCTGGGTCCTCGCCATCGCCATTGCAGGCGGAGCCCTCCTGTTCGTATCTCTCGCCTTCATCCTCGTCACGCTCACGGATCGACGCAACCAACGCGCCCGCCTGGCGACCGAATCCCAAGCCCGCCTGCAGCAGGACGATGACGTCTCCACCGAGACGGAAACGCATACCAAGGACGGCTCTATACGCCCGCCCCGACAGCGGCGCCGTCTGACGAAATCGCCACAGGTCTCGCCGCGCAAGAAGGCGAGGCGATCTCTGCCACACATCCTCCCTGCCATCAAGCACAGCGGCAGCCTCAACATCTTCGGGTCGCCGGCGGGCCGTAAGAGGAAGAACTCGTGCAACTCTTGGATCGACGAGGATGCCATCCACGGGCCCAAGGTCGTCAAGGCGAAGCGAGAGTCCAAAGGGTTTAGTCTCCGGGAGAGCTGGCTCATCATGCGAACGCCTACGCTGCCCAACCTCCTCGGCTACCGTGACGAACCGGAAACCGCCATCTTCTATCAGCACCAGAATTATCCCCTCGTCCAGCAGCCGCGGCCTGCCGCGCTCAGCCCCGAGAAGCAACGTCCGGACGCCAAGAAACCCACGTCAAGACTGCCCCTTGTCAGGACGCCGTCATATGAGATGGCCGAAAAGCGAGCCGCCGCCTTGAGAGGGGGCTTCCAGAAGCAGCAGCAATCCCAGGACGGAAAGGAGCAGGAACCGGTCAACCCCCAGAGCATCCCCAACGGTCCCCGTCCCCCGCCCAAGGCCAAGCTCAGGCAGGTCAACACAGAGTCCGACCTTCAGACCATCCTTCGCAACACAGCCCAGCGCCTCAACGATGGTAGCCCGAGCCCGATCCGCAATGACCCTCGCCTCAATGGTAACAGTACCACCGGCCCGAACAGGGCAACTCGCCACGTTCGCACGCCCGCTTCGCGCGGCTCGCCCGTCAAGTCCGCCACAGCCTGGAACGAGAGGCGCAGCGTCGCTGGCGAGTATCACAGCACGGAAAATGTACCCGAGCAGCAGACGCCCAGCCCGAAAAAGAGGATGGCACAGCCGATGACGCCCCAGAGCGCTCCTGCCACCATGAACCCCCGTACCAGCGGCATCCCGTACGGCCAGTCGCAGCAGACGGACGCCCAGCCCGATGTGTATACGCCTACGCACAGGCGCAAGCAATCGACGTGCTCCATGGCGTCTGACCAGGACAGTCTGTATGGTGAGACAACGCCCGAGCAAGACGCTATCATGCCTGCAGGCTTGTCGAGCCCCGACCGCCGGGAAAGCCAGACGTCAATTGGTGCCATGATTGCCGAGACTTCACAGCAGAAGCCCCAGCAGCACATGCGCAGCGTGTCGATTCCGTCCATGACGAGCTCCGTGTCATCGGCTCTGTCAACACTCTACAGCGAGGAGGAAGACGACGAGACACAGACAGGCGAGAAGATCCCTTGGGCGCACCCTGTTGATCCCAACCAACAACGTGGCAGCTTCAAGCCTAGGCGGATTCAGCACTCACCAAAGATGAGCGACCCGTTCCTCGTCCCGCCACCGGCGCCCCAAGTGCCAGAGAGGTCGCCGCGTCGTCTTTCAGCCAGCGGCGAGGCCCAGCGACCGCAGATGCTTGAAACCCGGTCCTACCAAGACCATAGCCGGGCTCTGGGCCAGATTTCAGGAAACCGCCGCGCGAGTAATAGCTCGCTCATCATGGCGCCTCTCAACGCGGCCCAGGATGGTCAGCTGTCGAACAGAGACGAGCTCCGCCTTTCCATCATGATGGAGCCATCTGCTCAGAAGCAGGGCCAGTCGTCGGTTCGCCCCAAGAGCGTCGTCACCATGAAGCCCAAGTTCTTCGCCACGAGCAACAGCGCCACGAGCATGATGGCCAGCCCCTCCACCCCCGAAGAGGACCGCAAGGGCCACCGCCGCCGTCGCTCTGTTGTCATGCCGCCACCCCTGAACCTGCGCCCTATCCAGGGCTCGCCTCACGAGCAAAATGCTGCGGAAGCCGATGATCTTGAACTCCCGACTCGCAACCTCCATACCCGCCGCTCCATCATCGCTGCCGGCGGGATCCCCACCGAGATTCCCTCCAGCCCTGTAGTCGCCCGCCCCTTGCCGGACCCTACCCTCCTTTCCAAGAACCCCTCTCCCACTCGCCGCCGCTCCCAGTCTACGACGCCGTCGCGCGGCCCCTCCAATGCCTCTTCAACTTACTCCAACTCTGGCCCTACCATGAGCCCTACTCTCATCCTCCGCCCTCAAAACTCCATCAACCGCGGCTCCCCTACCCACATTTCTCCCCTCGGCGCCTCGATCGTGCAGCTTCGACGCATGAACTCCCAAATGAGCGCCTACAGCGTCGCCTCGTCCGCTGCCACCGCCGCTGACGACGTGGCCGACCTTCGCGGTGGGGGTTTCAGCCCAGAGCGCAGCAATTCACGCGCCGGTCGTGCGGGACGTCAGAACTACCTGTCCATGGGTACGCCAAGCCCCAAGTCCCGCAACGGCATCCGCTCGACCCGCAACTCCGTCAAGGGGCGACCGGCATCTGTCGTTCCCAAGATGGATTCTCTCGAGGAGAAGGAAAATGGCGAATCGACGGTGCCTGTTCTGACGAGGGGCGGCCTCAAGGGAAGCCTCCGCACGGCAGAGAGCCCGAAGCGCAGGCTGAGCGTCCGCTTTGCCGAAGTTCAGGAGCCGATTTTTGTGGATGCGCTGGAGATGCCGGAAGCCGATGCTGAAGAGGCCAGCCGCGGACGGGAGAGGACCAGGACGCCGACAAGAAATCGCGCCAGCGCGGATAGCCTGGGCTTGTACGACAAGGATGGCTTCCTGATGAGCTCGCCCGAGAGGTTTCCATCGTCAGTGGCCGAGGGGCGACAGGGAGGTGCCCTCAGGATCTAAATGTTCCGCGTTCTCTTTGTTCATGGTGTTGATCTGCGAACATATTCGTACCTACAGGGGATGAGTGCCCCTTTCCTTGTATGTATTGGATTGCGGAAAACTTTCTTAATACCTGCCTGGATTAGCATCTCTGGATGACAGGCTGTCTTTTTTTTTTGTGTCTTATCACATAGTACAGCGATACCAGAGATAGGAAGCTGAGAATAGAAGGTTTCATACCTACTCCTGGTTGGTTCTCTCACACACGATTGTGTTTTGCAGGCGGCGTCACTGTGGGCCGATATCCAGATGAGGTCGTTTTTTTGTTGTGCTTTCTCCGCTCGCCCTAGGATGGCGGAGCCTCTTCGACCCTTGGTCTTTTGTTATCCGAATCCTCCTCGCCACCTTCATGCCCATTCACCTCGTCCAACGCCCTCACCCTCCCAGCACCCTCTCCCAGCTCACCACTGACACCCTCCTCAGCACCTTCGCCAATCCAGTTCCCATCAGCATCGAAGTATTCGTTGACGTTCTCGGCTGTGATCCATCCCGAGCTTCCTGGGAAAGGAGGAGGTAGCCCTCCGTTCGCGTTTCCTCTCAGGACACCAGAGAACCCTTCGAGAGCTTCATGCTCGCCCTCAAACACGATTCGATCCTCGTCCTCGTCGTCGTCCTCCTCCACAGGGTCGGGGTGCAGATCTGAGCAAGCGGAGATGGCAGCGTAGAGCTGCTGCACGCTCGAACCGACGGGCGGCACGATTGTCAGGTCGACGGAGCTGCCTTCGTCATCGGCATTGTCGGTCAGTTCAAGTTGCATCCAGATGGCATGCAGGGGCGTGCCGTCGGCCAGTGTGCCAGCCTGCTTGACAGCGTGGATCGAGATGGCGGGATAGGGAATGGAGACACCAGCGGTGGCGGTCGCGCTGTAGACAGTGAAGTTCCTTGATGGCATAACGGTCAGCAGTCAGGGACGCCAAAAGGGGAGAGCGATGGCAGGAGAAGCGCACTCTGAGTTGACGAAAAGGTCAATGGTCTGCTCCGTCAAGTCATCAGTGGCGCCTGTGAGCGTGGCACCCTCGGGTGCAGAGACCGCGGCAGAGGCATCGGTGAAGATGGGCAGGGCGGCTGATTGCGATTTGGGAATCCAGATCTTGGCACCTTGCAGATGATGGTGCAGAACAGGCTTGCCGCCGAAGAAGGTCTCCGGGGTTTGGGACTCGTACTCCTCGAGCGGAAGGAAGTCTCCGACCGAAGGCGGGGATCGAATGGTAGTGGTCAACATACTGACGATCTGGGAAAGTTGTTGCAGAATATTCGGCTTGGCTCCGTCAGACAAAGACGATGATGGAGGGGAGAAGGCCGGCATGATGGTGGGGTGTCGACAGCGCTGGGGGCAGAAAGACGCAGATCCCTGGAAGCTCTTATCCCCCTTATCGACACGTGAACGTGGTGTTATTGGCGGGATGCCTTGGATGGTGGCTGGGGAAGGTGCGATGGAGTGATGGCTAGTGCGGGGTTGGACCCTGACAGCTCCTTCCCTTAACCCCCAGTGTCACTGCCTGTCGTGCTGCCCTGTACCTGCCTCTGGCTGCGGCTGCGACTGCTGACGTAACTGCCTGTTCCTGTTGACTTCACGCCGCCTCGCGACGCGGCGGCTTTCCACCCCAACAAACTCGTCGCAAAGCATCTACAGACAATCTACAGACACTGGTGGCTGTCCCACACTCCAATCACCAACCTTCAGTCAAAGCAGAGGCTACAACCTCCATCGCAGTCATGTATAACAACCGTACGACGCCCTACCCCCCCCCCCACCCTCCTTGTCACTGCTAACACCCTCCAACAGGCTCCCACCTCCTCGACCAAGTCCCCCTCACAGTCTCCCCCTTCGTCTCCATCCCAACGGCAACGACGCTTTCATACAACTACAAGGCCATGCCCTCGGCGCTGCCGCCCTCGATCCTCGGCAACCCATCCGCGACCCAAGCGCCGCCAACAGAAGACGGCACCTCGACACCCCAGCAGCCGGCCCCGAAACCGCAGTACATCATCTCCCAGTCCGGCCACGCCGCGCACCCCGACGACATCATCGCCTCGTGTCGCGCCTTGCAGGCTCACATAACGCGCATGCAGGAGGACGCCGAGCGCGAGCTGCGCGAGTTCGAGGAGAGGGTCCGCGCGCGGGACCTCGCCGAGAAGCGCAAGGTCGCGCCCGGCTGGCTCGACAGCGAGGCCAGGATACTGGAGCCCGAGCGAAAGGGCGACGCCGCCGGTGACGGCCAGCCGAGGGGCGGCGAGGTTGACATGCTGTCAGGGGACGCCAATGGCGGACAGGGGCCGAGCGAGATGGGCACCGACCAGGGGGCCGAGCTGGATCGGTACTTTGGGGGTCTTAGCATGAAATGAGGGTTGGTTCTTGGGTTCACCTGGAGAGTGGCAGTTTGGGGCATTTTTTTTTTCTTTTTCTTTGGAGTCTCGTGGGTTTCAGAAAGGCGTTGTGGCTCTCGTGGAATTGACTTCGTTGACCGTGCCGTTGATGGGTCGGCAAATCGGGATAGCGAGCACGTAGGTCGGGCAACATGCTGACACAGTTGGCCAGACTACAAATCCTCAATGGCATACTATCTTGCCAGTCTATCCAGGATGGCCGCCTTGGATGCACCGTGCAGACTTGGCTCTTTTATGCCCCATGTCTCAGGTGAATTGCAGTGCATTGTACATGGTATTGGCCTGTCTACCTAACCGCTCATATACACAGGCACCTCCTGCTTGTAGTAGTTCGTATGTATCGCCGTCATGTTGCCCACATGGTCCCTACGGCCTCTCGTCCGCCTCTCGGCGCGCTTCGCCCCGTCCAACGCGTTCTTGCGCGCCACGAGCAGCGACCGCTGCTGACCCAGCGGCAGATACACAAGGCTCATCCGATCCGCAGCACGCAGCTGCGCCATCCCCGCCGTGAGCGCCTGCTCCTTCCGATCGCGCCTCGCCAGCGCCCGGACCGGCTCCGCGCCGTCCTGTCCCGCTGAAGGGGGTTCCGCGGCGAATGGCGCCGCGGCCAGCAGAGGAGGCTGCGCACCGGCGCCGTCGTCCCGCAGGCGTGTCCTCGCCGTCGCCGGTTCCGCCGCCCGCGCGCGATGCGCGAGGAGCTTCCCCGACGGCAGCCGCAGCGTGTGCGCGTCGGGACGGACGTCAAGGGCCAACGCGGGACGGTGCAGCGAGTCGAGGTCGTAGAGCTCGCTCATCTCCGCGGTGACGGTGAACCGGCAGTGGCCCGCCGCGCGCATGTGCTGCTGCACGGCCTCGACGGTCCGGCGGCGGGTCCCGCAGCAGATGCACTCGCGGTAGCTGAAGATGGTCATGTGGAGGAACCACACTAGCGTCTGGAGGTCCACTGCTAGGGAGGACTGGAATGGGATGGCCAGGCTGTGGGCTTGGTGCATGTGTGACAGGCTGGTCTCGAAGTCGCGGCTGGTCTCGTGACAGAAGAGGCAGGTGCTCGGGATGAACTTGACGATGTTGGTTTCCGCCTCTGATGGGCTGTCATCAGCATCATCGTCGTCGGCGTCGTCGGCGTCGTCGGCGTCGTCATGAGCAGCCTCTTGGTCTTGTATCTCAGCATGAGCAGATGCTCCAGGAATTGGTGCGGCGCGCTCTCGTTTCCCCCGCCTCGTCGAAAGCCTGTCTGCACCCTCTGGTGGTGCCATGACCGTCCCTTGTTCCGCCACGCGACATCGAATTTTGTAGATGCTACTCGATGGTCAGCTGCAATGCTCATTCAAGGTAACTAAAAAAAAATCCATCTTCAAGGTCAACTTACTGCCAGTCACTTTTGGCATGTTGACGCTTCTCCTCGACGTTGGTGAAGGAGAGGTCGCACAACCGACAACTTGTCAGTGCTTGGGGTTGGCGAATGGCGTTGGAGGCCATGATCGCGGTAGTGCTTGTGGCTGTGTTGTTCGTCGTTGTGTCGCCCATGAATTGCGGATTGCAGGAATGGGTGGGCTGTTTCTCTTGCTGGATGCAAAAACGGGCTGGGCGAACTGTGTTGCGTCAGACAGACGTGTTGGCTCGATTGTGTTAGCTTTTCAGACTCTGCGAAAGGTATAAGTGATTCGCAATGAGCACCACGCCTGTTATATCTAGGCCTTCTGAGCATGATGGTACAAACACAGTAGACGAACTTGGCCTGGCTGCATTGCAGTGAACATGATGGACGATGATTCATAGTGAGTTTATCCCAAAGCGGAAAACGAGGCACACTTAGCGTTGTCAGCCTTGATCATGTAGGGATGCGCCCCCTGTATTTTGCCACTGTAGTACTTTGGGTGCTGTCGCCCCGCTTCCAGACCACGTCAAGGAGAGTCGAGAGGCATGATTCAACACGAGCGTCGCAGCGGTTGTCTTTCCTCCTCAAATCAAGGCCTGTCATATGCATTATGGCTGAAGTCTCAAGGCGCGAATCAATGTCCGGCAGGGGCAGGGGTAAATGAACCTTGACTTTGAATGGAACTGATGATGCTCGTGAAACCTCATGGAAGACAATGCTACAATGGCGGAAACACCCTGGCTACGATCCCGAAGCAATTTTGATCTACCAGACAAACCCTCTCATGATGATGCTGTAAGAAAGCAGAAAGGCGCCCCCCCCCCTCTTCGTAAATAGATGCACTGCTGGACAAAGCAAATCATACGTGCGAAGACGAGTTGTTGCCTGCGCCGTTGCTTCCGTTGTGAAATGTACCGTTGCTGGTGCCGTTCCGAGTGCCTGTGCTGATGCTGTTGTTGATGCTTTTGCCGACTCCGTTGCTTGCGCCACTGTTCATGCTGTTACTTGTGCTGATCCCTGTGCTGTGGTTCGTGCCGTTGCTGGCACCCTTTGCGCCTGAAAGTCTCTCAACTTCTGCACTCCAAAAGTCAACAAGCTCATCCAAATCAGGCCGAGCGTTCGGGTCCAATTCCATGCACTGATTAATGACGTCCTTCCAATACTGGGGCACATCGGCCGACCTGGCGGTCCAGACGGTCGGGTTGGGTGACTGTTCGAGCTGCTCCATCAGCATCCACATGACACGGCCGAGACTAAACACCTCAGCCAGCTCGGCTGCACGGGGGCAAGTTTCCTTCCAGATGGGAAAGACGTTCCACTCGGGATAGCCCCAAAACAAGTTCTTTCTCGGTGCCCCAACGCGGGGCTTGTATACAATCCTGGGTTTGGCGGGCTGAGCTGACTCGTCGTTGGGAGAGGGAGGTTCTTCCCATGCTTCTTGGTCAATCGTGGCTTCCTTGGAGTGCGTGAACATGGAGACACCACTCTGCTCCCAATCAATGAGACGAATGCCGTCTTCTTGGTCGATGAGGATGTTGCCAGGCTTGACATCCATGTGATACGTCCTGGCGATGCGGTGGGTGTGAAGCACAGCGCGAGCCATCTGGAAGCACCATTTTGCCTTGCGCAAGAGGGGAATGCGGACGTCACCAGCGTTGGTGATCTGGTCGTCCAATGTTTCCCTTTCCATGACTGGCTGCAGGAACCCACAGACCCGCTCGCCACCGTCAGGGTCCAGAACAGTCACCAGGGTCTCGGGGCAGGGCATGATGTTGGGATGCAGCGGCAAGGCGGCGAGGGTTTGGATCTCGTGCAGCATGGTGTCTCGCTGGTGTTGGTGGAATGAATTATCCTTATCCTTATGGTTGATGAAGGCTTCTAGGTCAAATCCCTTGAATACGTGGCGTGTTCCCATGGGAGCCCTGACCACCACGCGAGCGTGATTCTTGCCGGGGAGACGGTTAGTCTCGGTCAGATGCTTAAAGTCGACTGTCTTGAATGTTTGGTGCAGGCCCTTCTGGCGGAGAGACGCGATGAAGTCTTCGATGAGGGTCAGCTGGCGGGTGTAATTCTCGAAAGTGCGATCGGACGCCATGGTTGCTGGTTGAATCTGCTGCAGTTTGGCGACGGTGGCTGTCATGGATTTGATGACCGAAGGCATGGTGGGCTAGCGGCCACGTCGGCGATGGGAGTAGTTGGGCAGCAGGTTGGGAGACAGAATGGTGTAGGCGGCCGGAGGCGCTTGCCATCAAAAGATCTGATGTGTTGGTGGTGTCGAATGTGGTATCGTTGTCACGCTATGTACCATGTCGGGCTCGAGTTCTCGCGCTGTCTGTCTGGTGAACGCGGAAGGATCAATCTCGACCTATAAATCGTATGTCAGAAGCAATAGTGATATTGCCTTGCTCAGGGCCAGGTCACGGCCAACAGGACGTCCGCGGACGGTTCGTCGGGGCGGCGGATGAATGCTCTCAATGCTGGCCGCTGGCTGCTGGCTGCTGACTGCTGGCTTCAGGCTGCTGGTCACTGCTTCCCGACCA